TTGACTGATTGACTGACTGATTGACTGACTGACTGATTGACTGACTGATTGACTGATTGACTGAATGATTGATTGACAAACTCGTTCGCTCATTTACTGACAAATGACTACCTGACTTACTGACTGACAATTGCTTAATTCACCGCCTGGCTGCCTAACTCACTGACTAACTAACTCAATGACAAACTGACTGCCAAACTCACTGACTGACTCACTGGCCGACTGACTCACCCACTAATCAAATAACACACCGACCGACCCACTCAATTGCTGACTGATACACAACGTGACTGGTTGACTGAGACTCACTCACTGATTCACTAACTGAATGACACCTTTTCTTTCTTAACTCACAAAAAGCGAGAAATCCGACTCTAACAGGATTAGAGCAATGTCCAGTTGTTGATGGGGTAGATAGCGTTATCCAAAGGATATATCGCTGTCCAACAGATAAGTGTTCAGAAAAAAATACTGCTCTCTCTGCACCAGACAGAGATTTATCCAGAGGATAGCATCATCCAGCCTTCAAACAACTGGGGTCTGAAGTGGTCTAGTTCCACCCAGTAATATCCACCAGCGTTTTGGACTCATTAGAGTCTGTATAATTTGTGTTTTAATGCACTACACAGTAGATTTAGCCACTGGGAGCTAACCTTGTAAGGTCCCTGATCACAGCCGCTGTATGTACTCTCCATGGTGTAACTCCTGAGCACTCCAATCTCTCTCCATACCACAACCCTGGCAGTGGATTCTTTTGAAGGTTCCACAATAAAACTACAGCTGCCCAGCGAAAAGGCTGGTGCAATGTTGTGAAGAACTCGAGGTAATGTCTGCATAAATAAAAGGAATAGTCAGCTTGGTTTGGCAAATACGGTGCTTCCTTCACGGAGTTCCTTAGTGACATTTCAAAATGCTTCTTGATGCTTAAGAAAAATTAAGCTGACTCTTTCAAAAACCCTGCCACCTGTAAGAAACTCACGGACATCGCACGGCCTTCTAATGCCGCGAGCGTAGAGAAAAGTTTAACAGCATAACTCACGAATATATACGCGCAGTTTAGAAGGATTACTATTAAAAATCAATCCATTATTTCTGCTTTTATTTCAATAATCGTACTCCAGCACTGTAAACGGGAATTCTCACTGACTGTATGACTGACTGCTTACCCCACTCACAGACTGACAGACAGACTGAGTCACTTACTGATTGAATGACTGATTGGTTCCAGAATATTTTTTTTACGTTCGTCGCTGACCGAGTACGAGAGTTTGAATTATGATCGTCATCCTGTGATTCCATCAGTATGGGAACAAAGGAGCTCACAATATACGCTAAAATTCTCCAATCATTTCACAAAAGGCTAACACTGTAACAAACACTTAAATTTTCGATTACAAGCCGCTGTTCGGGAAATGAGCCCACGCTCCTCCTTCTTCTTCTTCCGGGAAGATTGAAGACTTCCTTCTTTTCAGGATCGAGGACCGGACTTAAGATCCTTGCTAACGTTTTCATCTTTACAACTGCCGTTCACATGGCGATGGAGTGTGTCTAGTATTTCTGTCAGCTTCCGAGCGTCCATAAAAAGGTTTCGTCTTTAACTAATTTTTTACACCCACCCTATAACCGGGATCTTCTTCTATGTCACTAGGGTCCATGCTACTGGTGGATTCGGAGCCAGATAATTCGGCTACACGTTCTCGGACAGAATCCACCAAGTCACCGCTGTCGACTTCACCAGAACTGGAAGAACTGGCAGCCAGTGTGGCAACTGTGCTGCAGCCATACATAAACACGTTCTTCTTGCGTGAATGACCATGGAAGTCGCAATAAACCTTCAAGAGTAAAATGCAGCAGAATTAAAAAGAGCTGCTGCTGAAGCCAACCTTAAAGGAGTTACCATCTTGCTCAGGAAAAAAAATAGGGTAAAAAAGGAAAAAATGGCGAATGAGCGCCAACTGTGAAATGGGGAGAGGAAGGAACAATCATCGTGCTTCTCTTATTTTGTCCAAGATGGCACTCCATATAGGTCAAGGAAGTTCAGAACAGACGATACATTCCTAGAGTGAAGTGGCGCGACAAACAAAACACCAGATAAAGGCTGATAGTTTCGAAAGAAACTGTTTGGGGCTGCGTCGGTGGCGGTAACGAAATAATTTGGATATATCAACAAAGTTGAAATGGTATATTGGCCACCGTAACGATTACAAAAGCTGAAGTTTCGAGCGTTAGCCCTTCGCTTGAAACATCAGCTTTTGTAATCGTTACGGTGGCTAATTTACCAATTCAACTTTGTTGATATATCCAAATTAAAACACCACATAGCCACGAGAAAATGCAGACGCGAAATAGTAGCCGGAATTCACACAAACTAGATTCGGTACAATTGACTTGGCCATGCCGATCTGTTTCACGGTTACGAGCGACTCACCAAAGGCGTCTTTTCAATAGACTGTAAGTACAACAGCAACCCCTTCACGTGATAAATAGTGGGGTGAAGTAGCATGCTGGGATTAATCCAGCGCCTGTTTAAATCATCTCCCGACAGAGAACATCGGTGGCTGCAGAAACAGTTCAACAAAATTGTTATAAAAACAAAGGCAAGGATAAAATCTAAAAAAGAACAAAGGCAAGGGTAAAATCTAAAAAAGAACAAAGGCAAGGGTAAAATCAAAAAAAAACAAGAGTCATTGTTGTGCATCAAAGGAAATTGTGTTTAACTTTATTGATGAATTAACTTCTCGACAGAGTCGCAGTATTGCACTGTATCAGAGCAAGGTTATTTATAAGTATGAAGTTTGTCCTTGTGGATCATGATGATGTGACGAGTTGAAGTGGGTGGGTTAGTTGCTTGGGGGAAAAGTTGAAAGTGCCAAAAGAATAGGCTAAAATTACAATACTGAGAAAACTTTCTTACAATACTGCAGACATCAGACATCCTTCATATCTGAAAGGTCACAAGAGACACATTGCTTCTCTCGTGTCGTACAGGTGGATAAATAAAGAAATTAGAAAATTCGTTGAGAAATCCAACAGAAGGAGAGCGGCTAGATTCTACAAGACTGAGGCCTTACCAGCCATTGATGACTCCGTCAATGTTAAGCATGGGTACAACCTTGAAAATGAAAGTCTCCCGCAAATGACGTGCAGTGTAGAAGTTACTAATTAAAAAATCTAGAACTCCTGTGGATGAAAGCAATGTTGTGTGAGATAGAAAATGCTTAAGACTCCAAAGTAACATGGGCTGGATAACAGATTACATACATATATAGGTTACATAGGTTACATGGGTTGGTTGACCACTCCCCATGGGGGCATTCAGGGCCAATTCCCACCCATCCCACCCCAGGGTAGGACATCCACGACACAGTAATCTCGTGCGTGGGAAATTAACGTCTCCTACCTCTAACCCTGCAGGAGACGGGGCCTACGGTTTATTCGTCCTTATCCGAGAAGACTAGAATATCTCTCCATTTCTTGATTATAGAAAGGTAGCAAATTCTCCTCTCTTATTTTAAGACCATGAGTATTGGTCCGTTAATAATCGGTCCACGAGTATTGTCCGTTAAGTTAATATCATTTTTAGGTCCAAAAAAACCTCCAAAAATCAAATAACTAGTCTCGATCTCAAAAGAGCAAGGTACAGCGGTTATACAGTTCAAAGAAAAACTTGCAAGGCACGTTTTGAGGAGTGAATTTTTTTTGTCCCAATTTCCTGTGAATCTCATCTCTAATCGACTCCTTTTGGCCTTATGACTTAACCAATTCTCAGTCTGCTACATGGAAACGGGAATTTAGATTCTTATAAATATTACTTTGTCTTTTCAAACAATCAACCTAGTTCACTTCGGTCATTTTAAGGCAAGGGTTCAAATTTTCTAGAGGAGGCTGCCGATGGCGTCAGTAATAGACAACTGTGACGAATGGTGAAACCCAAACACAGGATCCCGTTCACAGGCTAAACAGACCGCAGTGTGAGATCTGATAGGCGGCGGTAGATAGCTGATAACCAGTTTATATTAAAAACCCTGGTAATTTAAGGATTGGACTGAAATAATAATAAAAAAGGTCGCAAAAGTAACAAATGATACAAGTATATCATCATTCCAAGCGCGCGTTACCTTTCATGACCCAACTTGAATTACTTTCACCAGGGTGAACACGGCTTGTTAGGAAAATATACGGTCTGTTACCTAAAACATAAAAGGTAAGATTGTGCCTTCAAAAAAAAAAACAAAAAACTCTACACTGTCGAACTCAAGGAACTGCGAAAGTTACTCACTAAAAAGCTCAATGGACTTTGCATCTCTCTGTCGGGGCTGCGCCGTGATGGTGATGACGTCACAATGATTTCCCGCCAAAGTGTCACACAGAGTCATGCGGCGGTAAAAGATATCGTTTGTACGAAACCCGGACTCCAAGCGTGATAAGTGACTCTGTGAAAAAGAGTAAGGTAAATAATATGAAATATCATTTTCTAATCTTGATTTCTTTGAGGTGAAGGAGGAATGTGTGTGTGTGTGCATTTGTGCTTCAATCTTCTTGCTGACCTATATTTTAATCTTATTTAATGCTGATGTTAACTAGCTGCCTGACTCCGCTAGCCCCTATGGTTATTCCAGGGTGCTAGTACTCCAATTTTATTTCTAATAATTTCTTTCAATCTTGTAACTTTTTTGCTTAGAGCAAGTATGAAGGTGAGTACAAATAAAGATTATCCGTATCCGTTATCCGAATGTACAGTGTCTAAAGCTAGATTTGCATAAATTTTTTAAAGCGAAATTGAACACTTCTCCATGGTTATTTCCAAACCTGCATTGGCACAAACACACAGTGACTACGATACAATTTGTTCCAATATCTATGATAGCAGATTCACGGATTAAAGCAAAGATGGTTCTCAAAATTTGCTACACATTTTGACAAAGAGATACGATTAGACGACCAACACTTCCCTCAAGCAGCAAGATCTTGTTCCAGAAAAAGCATCCTATATTTTTTAATAAAGCTTTTCAAATGTTAATCCGGCCTTACATTTCATGGTAAACTATTTGGCAGATTTCCAAACTTCTTTAAACATTTCCAACGTCGTGCTAACCTTGATACAGAAACATGATAACATAACCAAGCGGGGAGACCTACCTGTAGCATAGTGAAGGTGTATGGATAGTGATAAGCGAAGTAACATGTATCGTTTGTGTGAGGGAAGGTCACAGTGAAAGTTGACGTGTAGTAGGTTTTGCCTGTGGGACCACCGGTTACTTCACGGCTTCGTGTGAAGTAATTTCTATAATAACAAACATTAGTCCCGACTCGAACCCAACCGGCGCGGTCTTCTTGAGCCTCTATTGTTGAATACATGACTGGCTGCATACCTAACAACGGGAACAAAGTATTGGGTTACCAAGACCGTACCCTGGTGGAAGTAAGCGTATGTAATCAACAAGTTAATGTTCACTATTCCGGCTATGAAATCTTACCGAGTCTTTGTAAAAGGCTTGTAGCATGAATGAACAAACAACACGTCGTTAAAAACCACCTTAGTTATAAAGAAATTTTGAAATCTAGGATTGCTTTGGTTTACTTTTATATCGCTCTATGATAGGTCCAAAAAGCTCGCGCCATCCTTTAAACCAATTAGATTAAGAATAGGACATGGTCAGTCGCGTTTTCCCACGCTTTACGCAGTTTGCCGTTCATTTTGACTGTGCGTTGTCAATGGTCACTTGTGATATTTTCCTTTCTCCTGATAAGCTTTGGTGATTTACTCTGGTTTTCGTTTGGATACTACATCGAAATGCACTCTTCCGAAATTAACAAGCTTTCTGAGTATTTCGTGAGTTTTGCGATCCCAATGAGTACCACTTTTTGGTCGGATGGCTCTCCGACTGCGACACAGCGGTCAAACGTGAGGCATGTGCAATGGGTAAATTTTTGCCAGGTGCGCGCCAATTTTCCGCCAAGAGCTTAAAGCAAAACATAAGAAACAACCAGCTTCATGAAAAGTCTACGAAAAAACAAAAAGTACATTGACAACCGAATACTCGTACAGCAATCTTACCAAAGTTGAACTGACTGTTGATCTTCTCACAATTAACGATGTTGAATTTGTACGGAGTATCAGCGTCCATATTGCTAACCTGAAATGAAGAGAAAAGCACAGATTTAAAAGGCCTAATCTATTTCCCCTAATCTATCTAATGGAGAAGGACCATTATTATCACTTAGTCCGGCATCGTGGCGCATTTTGAGAGCTAAAATGTATTTTATCTCGCACGCACGCTCTCGTGATGATTCGGACAGTTTTGTTGTAATTTTTGTTCAGTTTTTTATTTTCTCAATGTCCTCTAAAGTGATAAAAATAGTTATAGAGGTTAGGTTCTTATGCATAAATATCTTTTGGGCCCCTCTCAGTGTAATATTAACCCTCGCCTAGTGACTCGGGCTACAATGACTCCAGGTTGGGCTCAGAACATGGTTATGCCCAAGAACATAAACTCTATTGTTTTATTAGCGGAGGTTAAGTGAACACAGCGAGGTTCAGTGAACATATGAGAGATCATAATGAGTATAGAGAAAAAAAACATACATCACAGTAGAAATTAATAGTTTACAAAGGTCAAACTTCATGTAACAAACTTCACCATAATAATACTACAAAAATTACCCGAAAAACAAAAAAGGGAAAAAAAGCAAGAAAAATTAATGTAAAGAGAGTTCCCCACCACCCTCCTTTCTTCACTTTTCTAATGATCCGTCACAAAAATTGAATCCTATTTCATACCAGTAATCATAGTGCTGTAACTACATGAAGTGTTTGTTGGGTCGGGGTGACACGAAGAAAAGTACCCACCTCAAAATAAAACCACTGGTGATGGTGTTTGCAGTTGATATCAGGATTTAGAACCAAATCATACTCATAATCCCGCACCTAAGAGATAACATAATAAAAAAAAGCAAGTATGTTAACATTATTTCTTCGCTCCTTCGTTTAATCTTGATATTAGCATGGTAAAACGAACGAACAAATGAACCTCCCGAATAACCACCCATACGGTGTTTGCAGTTGATATCAGGATTTAAAACCAAACCATACTCATAATCCCACCCCTAAGAAATAGCATATTGAAAAAAGGCAAGTATGATACATTATTCACTAGCTCCTCCATTCATTCTTGATATTAGCATGGTAAAACGAAGAAACAAATGAATCTCCCAAATAACCACCCACATACTCCTCACCTATAAACTCACACAAAAAAATAGTGCTTTACAATTTCGCCAGGTAGCCAGGCTGCGTGTAAAATATACTTCTATTTGAAAACCTTTTTTGGTTGGCTTTAAAAGTGATAGTAGCTTTTCTGTCGTACTCTACAAAATATCCCTTGACGCTCGCTGATGGGCTGAAGTGACGCCACAACTCGCATCCTGGATTTGATAATAAGCCCCCTCCCCCACCCCCTAAAAAACACACACACTCTGATAAGAATTCCCCGCCTCAAACCCACCTGGACATTGAGGAGCCGTCCCTCCTTGCTTACCCTCCTCAGGGGATGTATTAGGGTGTATAAGGCGTCTTGGGCATTGTCGAGTCATGGATTGTTTTCAATCGGAAAGCTAAAGCGTCACACACATCGGCAAAATTTCCAATCTCTTAATGTCCACTTCGTCTGTAGAACAGAAAATCGCAACAAATACCTGAATAGCCTTGCGTAAATTGCCACTCTCAAACCGCGACTCAAACTTCAGTGGTCTAGCTGTCTCCTCAGGAGATGACCTGCCTCCTTCTGGTATGCTGTAAAATGAGACAAAGCTACTGGTGAGTCCTTTTCACCCTTTACAAGAAGAATTTGTCTAACAATCAAGAGCTCTTTGAGTTGGCAATCATTTCCCTAATTCTTATGACCTTAACATTTCAGGAGTGAGACTCTTGGGGGAAATCAGATGCCTATCACTATTAAGGGTCGAAGGGTTAACGAGTTACTTCTCCTCGTAATCCCAATACAACAACCACCAAACAGGTGTCAAACACCTAACTCTCTGAACTGATTATGGAGGAGATGAATTGTAGTCACAAGGGAAAATTACAACTCATATATTGGAAAGTTAGTTCTGAAGAAACTTCACAGGCGTTTACTCCCTGATTTACCTGGAGTTGCTATGTTTCCGCGCGTGTCCTGACTTGAGTTGTTCTTTAGCCACAGCTAATAACCTATTGTCGGGTGCTCCTCCAGGGTCACCAGGCTGTCTTAACAACTGATCCAGGTCAAACACGACTTTGTTTATCACCCTCTGTGGATGAATCTGTCGTGCAATGTCCCTGAAGATCATAGTTCTGAAAGAGAAAAAGCAATGCTAGCCCAGACGGATCTCTGTCGTCTTGACATGGCCAGGATCAAAAGGTAACAATGCATTGTGTTCGTAAAAATTAAAAAAAAAAAAAAAAACCTGAGTTGTACATTATATGTTGCCGTGTATCTGTACAGTTCTAGATCAAAAAAGGCGTCAAAATGAGGGAAGAACATCAGCGAGACTCTCAGCTTCACCTCGTGTGTCACTTCTTTCTTCTTACCACATTTTGACTTCATCTGTGAACTACTACTGTTCAGAGGCAGGAAATCTGTTGAACTGTGCTTCATCATTAGAAAAAAATCAAAATGTTATTTATGGCGACATCGTCTACATGTGAATGCGTCGATCACAAGTAGCAACCAATCAAAAGGAAGGTATCATTCAGCTTATCACATAAAGAGTATTATTAAAAACTAGATCATTGGATAATGCAATTCAAGACTTTTTATTGGCTTAGCCA